ATTTTCAAATGGCCAAAACTCATCCCCCACCTCCGGCATCTTGTTTTTGGACAACCCAAACACCCACACAACCAATTAACTCACAAATCAACACTTAATCCACCAATTTTTAGAGATTAGAGAAGCTAACTTACCAAAAATCCTCAACTAGCAAAGTTGGAGCTGGCGGTATGGGGAAGAGCCGACGGGAAAAATTGGGGAGGCTTCCACGGGCCACTAGAAATTGAAAGAAATAAAGATTAGGGTGAACCCACACACATTAAGGCTAAAAAAAAAGGGAATTCATGGCTGATTTTACCAAGAAAAAACCAGAACTTCTACCCAACAACAGCCGGCGGCAGAGGGAGGAGGAAGCAGAGCAGATCCGGCGGCTTTTCTGCAAGAGAGAGAAGTTCTAAGTCCTAGACTTGTTCTTGGGCAAGAGGAGAACAAAAATCATCAAGTTCTCTCACCAATTTTTCAGATGGAGGCGCTGGAAATGGCTGGTGATGTTCGGTTGCAGGGAGAAAAGAAAACAGAGCAGACAGGCGAAAATGCTGGGGGAAGAAAGAAGGAAAGAAGAAAAAGAAAAAGGGAATGAGTCAGCCGGCCTTATCCAAAAAGATTTTTAACCCCTTTAAATTTTGAAAAACTGACGGTTAGGTCCATTAATAATGTTTTCTCACCATTGAGTCCCTAACTCACACTTATTTGTTCTTGAAATTTTGGGATATTACATCCCCCCTCCTAAAAAGGAGTTTAGTCCCCTAAACTCATACCTCAATCTTGGAAGAGGTGCGGATGTTCCTGCCTCATCTTGGATTCCAACTCCCAAGTAGCTTCTTCAATCGAATGGTTGTCCCAGAGGACCTTAACAAAAAGAATGGTCCTTCTCCGCATCATCCTCTCCTTGAAATCTAAAATGCGGATCGGGTGCTCGTCATAAGTGAGATCCTCCCGGAGTTGAATTGGTTTGGGATTAATGATGTGACTCGGGTCGGGGACATACTTTCGAAGTGAGGACACGTGGAACACATCATGAACACCCGCTAGATTTCCAGGCAACTCCAATTTATAAGCTACCTCGCCAATCCTTTCCAAGATGGGATATGGTCCAATATACCTCGGACTCAATTTTCCCCTTGATGCCAAACCTGAGGACACCTCGAGTGGGTGACACCTTCAAAAATACCTGGTCACCAACTTCAAACTCAAGGTCTCGTCTCCTTCTATCCGCATAGCTTTTTTGCTTGCTTTGTGCAGCACGAAGGCGTTCCTTGATCAACTGCACAATCTCAGAAGATTGCTGCACCAATTTTGGGCCTAAAATGCTCCTTTCACCCACTTCCGTCCAACAAACAGGTGATCTACACCTTCGACCATACAAAGCCTCAAACGGTGCCATGCGGATGCTGGACTAATAACTATTATTGTATGCAAATTCAGCCATGGATAAGTGTTGATCCCACGAACCCTTCCAATCTAGAACACAAGCCCTCAACATGTCCTCAAGTATCTGAATAGTTCTCTCAAATTGCCCATCAGTTTGAGGATGAAAGGCCGTGCTGGAATTTAATTGAGTACCAAGTGCCTGCTGTAAACTTGTCCAGAAATGAGATAAAAATCTAGTATCTCTATCTGACACAATAGACACAGGGACTCCATGTAGCTTGACTACTTCCTCCATGTACATATTGGCAAGCTTTCAATGGAGGTGCCAGTTCGGTAGGGTAAGAAGTGAGCTGATTTGGTCAATCGATCAACAATGACCCAGATGGAATCACTACCCTTTAAGGTTCGTGGTAATCCAGTCACAAAGTCCATGGTGATGTTTTCCCACTTCCACTGAGGAATAGGTAACGGCTGTAGTTTTCCAGGAAGTCTCTGATGTTCAGCCTTGACCTTTTGGCAAGTCAGGCATTGTGAGACAAATCTAGCTATCTCCCTCTTCATGTTCCGCCACCAAAATGTACTACGTAAATCACGATACATCTTGGTGTTACCTGGGTGAATTGTATAGCTAGTATAATGGGCATCTCCCATAATCTCACGCCTCAAAGCATGATCTCTCGGTACACACAGCCGTCACCAAACCACAGAGTCTATCATCAGAAATTCTGAATCCTTGCATATGGGGTTCCCTGGCTCTTACTTTTTCCTTCATCTTTTGCAAGGAGGAATCTTTTTGTTGGCCAAGTTTAATTCTATCTAATAATGCTGGTTGTGCACTGAGAGTAGCTAGATAAGCCGTAGTGTTGTCCACTCTCAACTCCACATCCAATTTCACAAGATCCTCAAGTAACTCCTTTTGAGTGGCAAGGATGCTAGAGGCAATGCCAAAGGACTTCCTACTCAACACATTTGCTACCTTGTTAGCCTTGCCCGGATGGTAGCTAATGGTCAAGTCGTAGTCCTTTAAAAGTTCAAGCCATCGCCTCTACCTCATATTAAGCTCCTTTTGAGTGAAAATATACTTAAGGCTCTTGTGATCAGTGAAGATTTCACAAGTCTCACCATACAGATAATGCCTCCAGATCTTGAGTGCAAATACTACAACTGCCAACTCCAGATCATGGGTAGGGTAATTTTCTTCATAAGGCTTTAACTGCCAAGAAGCATATGCAATAACCCTATCTTTTTGCATCAAGACACATCCCAAACCCTTTTTAGAGGCATCACTATATATAGTGAATATTTTCCCATTAATTGGAAATGCAAGTACAAGAGCAGTGACCAACTTCTCCTTCAAGGTCAAAAAGCTCTTCTCACACTCTGGGGTCCACTCAAACTTGGTGTCCTTCCTGATAAGATGAGTCATTGGCAGAGCAATTCTAGAGAAATCCCCCACAAATTGGCGGTAATAACCAGCCAATCCCAGAAAACTACGGATTTCTGCAACACTATTCGGCCTTTTCCAATCAACCACGGCCTCAATCTTCTGGGGGTCAACAGAGATTCCATCCTTAGTCACCACGTGACCTAGGAATGCAACATTGTCTAGCCAAAATTCACACTTCTTAAATTTAGCAAACAGCCTCTCACTTCTCAATGTCTCGAGGACTGTCCTTAAGTGCTTTTCATGAAGAATGCGGCTAGAAGAGTAGATCAAAATGTCATCAATGAAGACAACCACGAACTGATCTAGGTACTTGCTAAACACCCGATTCATCAAATCCATAAATCTAGCAGGGGCATTTGTCAAGCCAAATGGCATGACTATGAATTCATAATGACCATAACGGGTGCGAAAGGCAGTCTTTGGCACATCATCCGGTTTAATCTTCAACTGGTGGTAGCCAGATCGAAGATCAATCTTAGAAAACACCTGAGCACCCCTTGAGTTGGTCAAACAAGTCATCAATTCTAGGAAGGGGATACCGGTTCTTCACAGTCACCTTATTCAATTCTCGGTAATCAATGCATAGCCTCATGCTACCATCCTTCTTCTTGACGAACAACACTAGAGCTCCCCAAGGTGACACACTAGGGCGTATAAACCCTTTCTCAAGGAGTTCCTCCAGCTGGACCTTTAACTCCTTCAATTCTGCAAGAGCCATACGGTATGGTGCTTTGGAAACGGGTCCGGTGCCAGGAACAAAGTCAATAGCAAATTCAATCTCTCTATCCGGAGCTAAACCTGGGAGATCCTCCGGAAACTCACGCACCACCGGTATGTCCTCTAGTCTCGATGTCACACTACTAGCATCAGTAACGGAGACTAGGAAACCCTGGCAACCATTTACAAGATATTTCTGAGCCTACAAGGTAGATACTAACACGGGTGGAGCAAAAGAACCACTGCCTTGAAAACTAAATTCTGGCTCACCAGGAATATTAAAAATTACCCATTTCCAGTGACAGTCTATAGAGGCAAAGTGTTTTGACAACCAATCCATCCCCAAAATGATATCAAAATTGGAGATATCTAAAACAAACAAACTAGCACTCAACTGTCTACCAACAACATAAATATCCACAGTTCTACACACCTCCCTAGTAGTCATCACCCCTCCTAAAGGGGTGTCCACATGCAGTTCACAATCAGAGGTATCAACAAGCAAAACTCATTTCAAAACATAAGATCGAGCAATAAAAGAGTGCGATGCACCCGAATCAAATAAAACATGCGCATAATCAGAGTTAATAGGCAAGGTACCCGTGATTACGTCGGTGGCCGCAGCTTCCTTATGAGTCATCACTTGCACTCTCGCCTGCTGGGCTCTTGTCCGAACTCCGGTACTCTATTTCTGCGCCCCCTGACTGGTAGAACCCTATGGAGAGGTAGGTTGAGTGCCCTGAGTCTTGGGGTCTAGTAGTGGACAATTTGCAATCCGATGTCCCTGCTTGCCACATTTGAAGCAAGCCTCAGTAACAATGTGGCATTGATCCCGGGTGTGCCCGACCTTCCCACAAACACGGCAAATAAGTTGAGTAGGACGAGCATGTTGGGCTGTTGATGCTTGACTCACTGTCTTGGTGGCTCCTGACCATTCAGAACCCTTGCTGATTTCAGACTTAGGCGGTGCAAGGAAAAGGGATCGATGGCTCCCATCAAATTTCCTCTTCCCAAGGGATGACCCACCACTAGGCTGCCCTGAGGACTTGACTCTAGCCATAGCCTTCTCCTGATCTATAGCTCTGTCCGCAGCCTCTCGATAAGTGGCGGGTTTAAATTGGTTTACCGCCAAATAAATGTCAGAATTTAAGCCCCACAGAAATTTGTCGGCCTTGGCTTGCTCATCGCCAACTTGGCTACCCACAAAAGGCAGATAGCGGTCAAACTCCTCCTTGTATTGCTCAACAGTACTTGACCCTTGCTTTAAATCTGCAAATTCCCTTTGCAGTTCTCGACTTTTGCTGTCCAGTATGTACTCCTGCATGAACACCTTCTTAAAACCATCCCAGGTGCTCAATTCAAGCTCTCCTTGGTGCAGCTTCAGAGAACTCTCCTATCAAGTTAATGCCTTCCCAGTAAACATGTAAGTGCCTACATTGACCTTAAGGTCATCAGAAACATGCAGTAGGCGGAATCCCCGCTCCACCTCGGTAATCCACGATCCCACCTGCTCAAAACCCGCGGTACCATCAAATCCCTTAGTCATCATCTTCTGGAACTTTTTATAGACCTTCCAGCTAGGCACCGCAAGAGCAAAAGAAATAGGAACATGGGAAATTAGACCATGGGCCATAAGAGTGGAGACCACCGGGGATGGAGGTGGTACACTTGTGGCAGGAGATACTTGGCGTCTTATCTCTGCCATAATTTCCTGAACAAAGCTGGCCACTTGAGGATTGCTCGTCCCTCCCTCCTGCGGAGCAGCTTGGGCAGGGGGACTAGCATCTGGGATCGGAGGAGTGCCCTGATCCTTACGGCTACCCCTCGGGCGTCCACACCGTTTCGGAGCCATCTATAACCACATAGAAGGTTCATAGATTATTAATCAAATGCTCCAACGAGAAATTTCCCAGCAAGTTTCCACTTCTGGGACTAAGCAACACAAAAGTATCAAAACAAAAGAAACCAACACATATTAAGGAAGGAATCAAACAAGCGCCCTTAATCAACCCCACTCTCATACCTCACCACGTTCCTATCATTCCTTTGCTAGCCAAGTTCTAGACTAATTCTAGGCACTTAATTAAACCTAGGTTCTCATACCACAAAATCTGTCACGGCCCAAACCGAGAGCAAAACAGACGTCGTGCACTCGGGAATGGGTCCCACAATGCACAAGGCTCGAAACTTACTAAGTTCATGCTACTAATTCAGATAATTCAGGTCATATCTAATTTCTTTTTCTTTCTACACATTTACTCGTCAAAGTGTACAAAGAGGTATAATTCATCTATACAATCCTTACTATAACTACAGGAGTTTTGTACACAAAATTCCTAAGTCAGCATGGGTGACTAGCAGCCTAGCTACAAAACTGAATCCAAAAATGCCTAGCCGTCTAGCTCGTCTAGCTCGTCACTCCCCTGGGCTTCCCACGCGTTAGGTCTCATTACCTGAAATGGTGGACAAGGAAACCGTGAGATAAAATATCTCAGTAAGTAAACATGGGTCCCCGGAATCAAAATTTAAAGCATGCCAAATAATCGGTTGAAACATAAACAGAGCGTTTCAATAACAAACCATTAATGCAAAGTAAAATCACATAGTGGTCTCCTCTATTAGTCATGGCCAGTGTTATAAACCTCCCACTGGCAGGCACACGATTACTAGTGTATAATCCCACTAGTAGGATATCACGAGCGAACCGGTTCTGTCACTAACATGTCGACATGTGCTAGCGTTTATAAACCTCCCCCACTAGCAGGGTCACTAATAACATGACCACATCGGAGACAAAACCCAGCAAGATTTACAAAAAACCACAATTCACGATCGTTCTCACTTTCAAAAATAAACCGAAGAATCTCATGTGGCATGCTCAATTCTAGAAAATAAGGAAAATAATAAAGGTTCAATTTCCCTTTTTAATCATGCTCAAATGCAATTAAATCCATTTAAGCCTCCCCACCATCTCAAAAACAAGTTAAAATATGCTTTAAAATTTAAGGGCATTACCATAATTTACTTACCTTAATTGCACAGGACAGAAGGCCTAATCCAAGTGCTAAGGTCATAGGACGATCAAGGACCTAATCACAATATTTCCGAATTAATATCTATGAAGAAATTTTATTTCTTTATTTTATTTTATTTTTATTTTTCTATCTGAAAATTGAGCATTCACTGGGATTGGGTATTTATCTATGTATCTACAATTATATAATTACACATATAGAATTTTCAAACTCATGGACAAGAATTTGGGAGAACCGGCCTTCACAAAAAAAAAGGTCAATTCACAGAATTCTCCCCTTTTTCTCTCAGACATCACACAACAACCAAACCCACTAATTTCCTACATAAATCATCAACCAAAACCCATTTTCAAATGGCCAAAACTCATCCCCCACCTCCGGCATCTTGTTTTTGGACAACCCAAACACCCACACAACCAATTAACTCACAAATCAACACTTAATCCACCAATTTTTAGAGATTAGAGAAGCTAACTTACCAAAAATCCTCAACTAGCAAAGCTGGAGCTGGCGGTATGGGGAAGTGTCGACGGGAAAAATTGGGGAGGCTTCCACGGGCCACTAGAAATTGAAAGAAATAAAGATTAGGGTGTACCCACACACATCAAGGCTGAAAAAAAAAGGGAATTCATGGCTGATTTTACCAAGAAAAAATTGGAACTTCTACCCAGCAACAGCCGGCGACAGAGGGAGGAGGAAGTAGAGCAAATCCGGCAGCTTTTCTGCAAGAGAGAGAAGTTCTAAGTCCTAGACTTGTTCTTAGGCAAGAGGAGAACAAAAATCATCATTTTCTCTCACCAATTTTTCAGATGGAGGCACTAGAAATGGCTGGTGATGTTCGGCTACAGGGGGAAAAGAAAACAGAGCAGACACGCGAAAATGCTAGGGGAAGAAAGAAAAAAGGAAAAGAAAAAGGGAATGAGTCAGCCGGCCTTATCCAAAAAGATTTTTAAGCCCTTTAAAGTTTGAAAAACTGACGGTTAGGTCCATTAATAATGTTTTCTCACCATTGAGTCCCTAACTCACACTTATTTGTTCTTGAGATTTTGGGATATTACAGCCTTACTTTATTGTAAAACAAGAAAGGGCATTAAATGGAAGGGTTTTGGGGTTTATAATAGAAGGGTGTGGGAAATTTGACGGGTCAAAAGGGTAGAAAGAGAGAAGATTAGAGCAGGGGTTTGTTCGGCCCTTTGATGCTAGGATTCTATGAAGAGCATAAAAAAAAGTACCGGAATTTTATAGAAAGTATGAGACATTGCCAATGGCAGCAAGGCAGAGGCAAAGAGCAAAAGGGAAAAGATTGTATCAGGGAAAAAGAGAAATGGAAAGCAAAAGAGAAGGGAAAGAATGTTGTTTGTGAAGCTTTTGCACAGTAAAAAAGAGGGAAAAGTTTTTAAGGTCGGTTTAGGTTGGCCCCTATACGGTTATAACTTCTTTAGTTTTATCCCTATCATTTTAGTATTTTTATATTTGTCCTACCTTCACATTATAATGGAAATGATATCTTTAGAAGTTACAAAACCATATAGAATTATAAGGTTATTTCGATAATATAGTATTAAATACGTGGATATAACACTAGGTGAAATTATGAT